TCAAATAATTCTGGTAGAGACAACGGTGGACTAGACCAGAGGGAAGTGTCAGTCAGGCCCCAACAGCAAATATTGGTAATTAAAAGAAAGAATTTTGTTTGTTTTATAAAGAAGTTAGTTACAAAGTGTGTGGATGGGGAGTAGAAGAGCCACAAAAGATAGTGTAGTACCTGTACCCAGGATGAGTAACTCTTATTATGATTAGCCTAAAAGAGATAAGGGAAGAAATAGTATCATAACTTGATGAAAGAGAAAATTAGGGGCCAGGCATAGTGGCTCACACCTGTGATCCTAACACTCTGCAAGTCTAAGGCAGGTGGATTGCTTGAGTTCAGGAGTTTGAGACTTATAGTCTTGAAACTTTTAAGTCTTTGAAACTTGAGACTTATTTTGAGACTTATAAGTCTTTGAAACTTATAGTGTCAAACTAGTGCAGTTTATACCAAAGCCTCCACTACCTACAGAACATTTTTTGTACTCTGAGTACCATTTCAAATTGGTAGAGCCTCAGCAAGAGTGAGAACTTGAATCTAAAAATAGCCAGGTGTTGTGTCTGGCACTTGTGGTCTCAGCTACTCCAGAGGCTGAGGCAAGAGAACCACTTGAGCCCAAAAGTTGAAGGTTGCTGTGAGTTGTGATATCAGGGCACTCTACCAAAGGTGACAAAATGAGACTTTGTCCTCCCCCCCCAAAAAGAAAGAGAAAATTGTATAGAGACGGTCTCCTTAAGAGGAGGAGAAATGCAGATATCCTGTGATTACCTCACAGAGGGAGCCAGAACAATAGACATCCTTATGTGACTTTCCTCCTTTCATCCCATACCCTGTAAAGACTGAGGCTCTCCATTGGCTAACCCCAACCAGAGACCAGAGGACAAGGGACCACTGAAGTTCTTATGAGGTTTGGCTGCTGGGACAGAAAGCATACTGATCTGGAGAGACAAAGATCTACCGTGGTCTACTCCCCTTGTCCTTGGATGAAAAATCTGTGTCTTTAACACAGGAAATGCTCAAAATCCCACCAGACACCATGTCACTGTGGATGTTGTCTAGGCAGTTATCCCCCTACCATCTAAGCTATCCCTACTTGCCATCTAAGCTGTAATCACCACTCATGTTCTTCATAAAAGGTAGAGGGTAAAAAAAAGGAGACTAAAAATTAAATAACATAAAACATGGCTACTGCAGTCTTTGCTCCTATACTTGAAATTGATCTTGAGCCCAAACTGGTAATCATGATTGCCTACTACAAATCATTGCATATTTCCCTTACTCCTGACCAGCACCATGTACATAGTCAGTACTCTTTACCAGGTAGGATGATCCAAAATTTCATTTGTGTAAGTTGCAAGCCCTTGGTGGTCTTATCTTTTTTGAGTTGTACAATTTTCCACTGGTCAAGAACTTTGGGTAAAGAAGTTCTAACAGGCACCCCTGAATATGTGTGTCCCTAAAACAATCCTCTTGCTTTCATTCTGTAGCAGCAATTCATTTCCCTTAAGGTGACTAGGAACAGTCCCATCTGGGCTAGTATAAGGGCTATCTTCTCTACCTGTTGGTTCACTATTACAAGGTACCAAATGAGCACAGTGAAGCCTCAGTTTCCAAATTACTGAATTCTCGATCTTTTTTTACTGGTGAAAGCACTTCCCTGTTGGATCCCAGGATCTTCAAACATAGTGAACTTAGGCTGTGGGATGAGAAGAAAATGTTTTTCAAGTGAATTATTGACATAATAGCGAGAAGGGTAATTTTACCACTTAGTTCCTAAATGCATATATTCATGATAAGTTTTAAAAAAGTATTGCCACATATTTGAGATAGATACTCCATCTATAATATAGCATCCAGTAATCCAAGTTTTATTATTGCTCTTTCAGCTGGCCATCCCATGTTTGTAATTCTGGGTGATGGGCCAGATTGTGATGAGTGTAAATACATTGACTCATTACATTTGTTATAAAATAAATCCCCTGCTTGGGGACAAGGTTGAATGGTATACCATGACAATGGATAGGGCATTCTTTAATTCTACAAATTCTTGTGCTTACCGAAGCATGGTGGGCAGGGAAGGGAAGTCTATATTCTAAACATACATCTATCCATTGGAAGCTTTCTTTTTCTTCAGTGTAATAATCAACTGGCACCAGGTAGGTGATTGGGGTCTGCAGGGAATAGTGAAATATTACCAGCATTCACCTCTCTTGTTTACTACACTTAGAAGTGATAATAGCAAGACCAGCTTTGACATGAGGAGAAACCACACTGTTGGTTCATAATTTCCATATCCATTTTGTATAGTATTTCAAACAGAAAATAGTTATGAGCAAAGGGGAGCATATCCTCATTCCAACACATTGGACATTTGCAGGAGATTCTTTATTTGAGGCTTGTCAGAAGACCCATCCAGCAACTTTCTCTACCACAGACAATCAATTATTATTGATCTTGCTGGGTCATATGATCAGATGGTAGTGCAGCTTATATCAAAGCCTCCACTACCTACAGAACATTTTTTGCACTCTGAGTTCCATTTCAAATTGGTAGTCTTATAGGTTATCAATACAAGACAAGCACATCCAAAGGTGTTAAGTATTGCTTCAAAACTCCAAAGAGATCTCTCAAGTATTGACTCTCTCCCTTTGAGATGAGTGGTGTAAGTTGCAGAATTTTGACTCTCACTTTAGAAAAAAAGAGTATGGTGCAACCCACACTGCTGGTCCCCTATAAGGAGTGGCATTGAACTTTCAAAGTCTCTCACAACCTGGAATGCATATGCCTTGCTAAAGTATCTAAAGAACATTTTATGCCAGTACCATGCTATTTTTGTAGACTTGTAGTATAACTTGAAGTCTGGTAATATGGTGCCTCTAGGTTTTTTTTATTCTTTAGAATTCCATTGGCTATTTGAGTTTTTTTCTGGTTCTTCTAACCTCAGTGAGAAGAGCCCACATTACAAAGTTGTAAAGCTTCAGATGCTGGTGTGGATGTGAAAAGAAGGAAACATTTTAACACTGCTGGTGGGACAGCAAACTAATATAGCTGTTGTGGAAAGAGGTTGGTAGACTCCTCAAAGAGCTAAAAGTAACCCCTCCATTAGGTAAGCTCTCACCTAATGGGCACAATGTAAGGACATACAGCATGACCCCTGGGTAAAGGGCCCAACTGCAACTTGACCATTACCTTAGAAAAGCAAACAATGTAACCTGATCATTTGTACCCTCACATCAATCTGATATAAATTGAAAAAGAGAATATTTTGTGTCATGCTTGCTAGGTCTGATTTATATAATGTCATCAATGAATTGGAGTAGCATAATAGTTTATAGGATTTCAAGTTGATCACATTCACTAGAGATTATGACAGAGAATAGCAAGATTCTCTTAGCCCTGAGGAAAGGTTCTTTCTTAATCAAAAAGAGAAAGAAATATTTGCATCTGTGTTGTGTGGGCCATTCTCATTGGGTTTAGAAGAAACAGACAAAAACTCAAATAGCCAATGGGATTCTGCCATAAGGTGTGGGAATTAGTGATGATTTGAGGCAGAAAGATGAACTCTCCTGTGCCTGTATCTGTGGTTATCATAAGTTGTCGATAATTTACTGTCATTCTACTTGAGTTACCTGTTTGTTGTTATTGTCATTATTTCCACAAGCCAAAGAGGTGAATTTGATGGTGGCATACCTCTGCAACTTGCTCAGACATATGACAAATATTTTGGTTTACTCTTCCGCCTTTTGTGATATGAAAATTCAGTAGAATTTGGCATTTCAAGATTCTTAGCCTTATGTATACCAAATGTCTAAATCCTGTATTTCAAGTTTTCGATTCTTTTCTGATATTCCCACAGCATGAGATCTGGTTGGGTGAAGTATTTAAAAAGCATGGCAACCCTGTGACTTTTGTAACCCTTCAACCATATTTGCATTGTGACTACAGAGGATAAAGAATTCTTTCCAATCTGTTTCTCTCCAATATGTTTCTTTAATGTCATGCACACAGTTTTAAACTTTTTTCTTCCTTGTTTTTATCTTCTAGCATAATAAAAAGAAGAAAAATGACCTCATAATCCCTATAATCAGTAATATTGCCACAGTGACAAAGTACGATAGCCCCTCAGTGTCCCAGGGCTTGTGCAGTGTCCCAATCTAAGTGGAGGGATCATGTTGCCATCCCTTGTTCTGGATATTCCTCATCCCATTTCCCCCTTTGATGTAGGTGCAACCCAATCATGGAGTCTGATTTTAAGAGTCAGTTTCTTGGAGCTACTTCCAGTGGTAATTACTGTCATTCAGATTCTCAGTCAGGAAGCAGGTGCCATATTCACATGAGCATAATGCAAGGAAGGTTTATTTCCCAAACTGACTATTTACAAAGGTGCAGCTGGCATAAAGATAACTAAACTACAAAGGGTAGCATGATAAAGTGGCGCTGTGGCTCAAAGGAGTAAAGCACCAGTCCCATATGCTGGAGGTGGTGGGTTCAAACCCAGCCCCCCCCAGATAGCATGATAACCTGTTGTCAGGATCAAAGGATTTATTCCCACTTCTAGACCAGAAGGGACTGGGGGTAAGATTCACTAGAATCTGGAAGGAGTAAATTGCATTCAGTAGGCTGACCTGTGAAGAATAGGAACTTTCAATGGAGACACACCAGCCTGAGGTGGTGCCAAGGTAGGAGCAAGGGATATGACTCCTCCGAATTCCCTCTCCCCATTCCCTCAAGATCTTGTCAGAGTTTCTCACAGTTGAAACTGGGAGACAGAAGGCAAGGGGGCAGTTTAGAGAACATATAGGAAAGAGTAGAGAGGGTCTAAAAGATGTCAGATTGTGGGGCAGTGATAGCAGTGATAAGAACTATTTGGATCCTCTTAATTCGAAGGGAGAACCCATAGACTTTGCTGACAGATTAGATATAGAGCATGAGAGGAACAGAGAATTCAAGGGCAACTGAAAGGTATTTTTTTCTTTGTCTTGTTTTTATTTTATTATTCTTTTTTCATGTCAGACTGGTAGCATGCCAACATCATAAGAAGATTTGTGGGAGGCACATCTCACACATGCACCTGAAAACCCAATCATCAGGCTTATGAATTGTGAAAGGATCTGTCTTGTTTTGATTTTAATATGAACAACTAGAAAGGTGAAATGGAGAAGAACAAGAAAAGGGAAAGTTTGGGTGGGGCAAAGTAGATGTTTAATTTTGGGATATATTAAATTCAAATGCCTATTTGATGCCCAATGGAGAAATTTAGTAGGATAATGAATTATGTGAGCCGAGAGTTCTGGGGAGAGGTCCAGGCTTAGGAATACTTAAAGCTGTGATACTTGATGAGATCACCAAAAAGTGAATACAACAGAGAAAAGTCCTAAAAACTGACCCAAGGAGTCTGAGTTTAGGAAGATGAAGAGGAAGTGGGAAAATCTGTATGGAAGGAGCGTGGGGAAGCCAGGCGAGTTTGACATCCTAAAAGCCCAGAGTAGGTGTTTCAAAAAGGAGAATAATCAACTGCTGCTGATTAGATGAGAGTTAACGATTTTCTTTAGCAAAGTTGAGATCATTAATAACTACTTTAGTAGAGTATGAAGAACAGAAGTTTGGAGTGGCTTCAGGAAAGAAAAAAATATATACGATAGAGCCATAGATATCTCGTTCTAAAAGATTTTCTGTTAAATTGAAAGGAGAAAAGGGGATCTTTTCTGAGGTCTTTCCTAGAAAGTTTTGTTTTGTAATGATGGCAGATATTAAGAGCCTGACTGTGTTGATAGGAATGATCCCCAAAAGAGAAACAATAGATGTTAGGAAAGAAGGGAGGATGAATTGCTACAGCAGGACCCCCTGGGAGGCAGCCTGAGATCAGCACCTTGTAGTTCACTGGGAAAGAGACAGACTCTGTGGGTCACAGGCAGGTCTGAGGGTAGATGCAGAAGTGAGAGTTTATGGGGTCTCACCTGATTGCTTCTCTAATCTCCACGATAGGAGCAAGGTTATCAGTTAACAGGGAAGATGGCAGAGAAAGTGTGAGTGTTTTAGAGAGCAGGGAGAAGAATACAAAATGAGTAGAACAGAAAAACACAGTGGATTTTCTGGTGGCATAGAGGCATCACATATGGTTGTTGATCATGAAAGTGAGGACAGTCTTTTCTCCATCCACATTCAGACATGCAGGTGCAGGCAGGGAAGGAGACTGATAATTGGATTTAGTAAAGATTGCAGTTTAGCTGGCAAGTTGACTGGTTTTGGTATAATGTCATGTATTTCAAGTTATATAATTAAATTCCACTAACATTTCCATATGATAACACCATGAAGAAAGCAGAGAACCATTGTAAGTCACATTCTATAACAGAACGATTGTTATGCCTCAACTAAGTTAGAGGAGGATGTGCTTAGAAAAAGTGAGATAATTCTGTCTATTCTGGGTTTGGACCATTAGGTTTACAAGTTAGCTTCTATTATTAAAAAATGAGATGTCAGTGCCACATTATATGTATAAGTGGGATGGATGAATGGATACCTGCTCTCCAGTGTGGTTTAAGAGGCACACAATTCTTCCCTTGCCTAAGAGATCATCCAGGTGCCTAAATTTCCTGCCATCGTTGTCTTTTAGAATCAAGGCCTAGTGGCATGGGAGACGTGTAAAATGGCATCTGCTACTTGCAAGGGATGATACACAACCCATTGGTCCCAGTTTATTTTATCACATTAACATTAAAGAAAGTGGAACATTGAGTCCAGGGCACACATGTCAGGTCAGTTCTAAGCAAAGGTGGGAAGTGGACTTGCCTGAAAGGACGTGCCTAGGTCAGGGTTGTGGGTAACCCTGTGGGCATGGCTACCTGGGTCATGTCTCTCAAGCAGGGAAGAGGGCCAGGGACAGGAAAAGTGTAACAAACACTTGAGATAAATGAACGATTTACCCCACTGGCTTTGCCAAGCTTCTGTAACCTGGCTCTGAGCTCCAGCATCTGATCTCAAATCACTAGTTTTCTGAAAGATAAGTTTATCTTCCCTATCAGAATAGCTATTAATATAATTTTGTTTTCTTACTGTGTTTTGGGCAGTATGTTAATTGTAGTGCACTTGATTTGGTTTCTTGAAGCCTAACAATGACTGGCTGAGGTTACTGCTTTAGAGATTATGAAATTGACACTTAGAGAATTTAAATACCTTTTATAAAACTAGTAACTGGTCTAGACAGAAATATGGAAAAGAGCTATCTAACTTCTTACAATAAAAAAATGCATGATAGCAGATATCCCCCTCAGATCTCTGCATCCTTTAAATTGCTTTGCGCACAGTTTGCCAAAATAAATGTTTATTTAATTCAGTGAAGAGAACTTGCCTGCATTGGGCTGTGAGTTATCCCATAAACGCAGAGTTAAGTAGAACACTGAGATGTTTTGCATGGATAATAAACGCTCACAGTCATTAAAGACCAAACCCAAACTCATCGTGTTTTCTTTAAGTTAGTCTGATAATTGAGGCCGAAATGTTTTCTGACACAAAATAGCACAAATTGCCTCTTCCCATGTGTATTTTTCAGTTGTATGGTTTCGAATGAATAGGCAGGTATTTTTGTCATTGAAATTATTTAAGAAGTTTCACCTGGTAAATCCCCTCATGTCTGTACTCTCCAAGGCATTTGTGTGAAAATGAGGGCCATCTGAAGCAGTGGGAGATATCTGGCCACATTCTGATAACTCTGTTTCCACTGTAACTAATTCCAGTTTACTTGCCAACGACTTCAGACATCATCTTAAGGGGAAAGGAGGACTTGGGGATGGAGATGTATTTTAAAGGTTATTTAGTAAGATTTGTTTTTGTAATTGGGAAATAAAGAGCATTGCTCTGGGAATCTGCCTATGTGACAGAAGAACTGGCTGCGGTAAGCTTTGTAAATGGCTCTCCTTTTTACAGCCATTCAATTCCAAGGTTTCTGGGTAAAATCTATGGAAGGAAATTCATGCAGGAAAGAGGGTGGAGATGGAAAAAAAACGTTCATGCTTAAGTCACAGTCTATGGATAAGAAAGAATTTGAATATTAATGCACAACCTTGAGAATTAAATACTCTGTCCAGCAACCTCACAACTGACAGCTGGCTGGGGGCTGATAAGGAATGCTGGGTGGGGGTAAGTCCTGGGAGTGCCTAGTTCCCAGGGCAGACTCTCATCCCTGGCTGGCATTAGAAAGAATTACAAAGCATGATTCAGAATCTAATTTTGTCAGCTGGTGATTGGCTCCCAGGAGGCCCTGGCCTCACAATGTGTCTATTAAGTAATGGGAATTGGGCTGTGCTCTTTTTCTCTGCCTCGTGCCTGCCACCCCATGTTCCCTTCCCAGTGCTTCTCCAGTGTCACCCTATGTGTGCTTGTTTGCATTCACATTCCAAAAGGCATTCCTGAGGGTTTTCACAACGCGTGGATGCTAAATGCAGAAGGATGCCAATGCCTTGTTGATTTTTAAATTACATTTAATAACTCTACTCTTGGACTGCTTTAAGAATCATAACACTGTCTTGTTAGGATGGACAGTTTAAGTTAAATCCTTCCATTTCCTAAGCCCTATTTAATGGCTTTGTGCAAGAGAAGCTTCTAGTGTGAGCACAGGAGTCAACCCCTATGCAGAGATACTGAATAAACACACTGTGTGAGAAATCATTTAGTTTGTGTTAACTTCATTGAATGAAAATCGAATCTTCAGCTTGCATTTTTTTGTTGCTGAATGTTTGATACCTGTCAAAGTATCTGTTCATCTTTTATGATCTGATTCAAATCATCAGTGATGAAACTTATTTTATAGGTAATTTAAGTTAAACCCTAGGTAGTAATTTACACATCTACAAAGGTGTCACTTACACATCTACAAAGGTGTCATTATGTGTTCAGGGAACATATAGTGTGGGTTTTATTATTTCTTTCTGAAACCTGACAGGAATTACTTTTCAAAGAGTTATGTAACAGGACCATCCTCCCTCCATTTTAAGACTTTGAGAATTTTGTTATTGTCCCTGAGTTCCAGAACACACAAAAAATATAATTGTTGCATGAGGGTAATGTGGACAGAAAATTTTAAGCGCAAAGAAACATTTTCTAAGAATATTTTTCTCACAATTATATTACAAGATTCATTCTTTCTCACTGAAACCATTTTCTAAAAGAAATTTTAGAGACCCTCCCTTCATAAAAAGATGAACAATTTTAGTTCTGTGCTACTCTTTTTTTTTTTTTTTTTTATCTTCAAGCTATGCCTGTTTAAGTTAGAAAAGCTGGCCTCCTGTTGAAGAAAAGGTCCTATATATGATATTAGAATAGTCAAATTCTATTTTTATTCTGGCATGAACTAGCTATAGCAATTTGAGTAAGTCATATTTTGGACCAATTTTCTCAGTTGTAAGAAGGAGAGAATTGGCTAGTTTAGAAAGCAAAAGCTCTTGGCTGATAGGCAACTTCCAAATGTGTTTCCTATGTCAAATAGAGTCATTATTAAAATCTATTTTGAAATTCCCTTGTAGATGTGCATTTATCACCTATACAGAGTCCTCACCACTCCTTATTATCCTGTTTATATATATGTATGCATACACTTGTGTATCAGTCAGACTTTGCTGTGTAACAAACACCACCACCACCCCCTAAACTTAATGGCTTAAGCTTAGGCTTAATGGATACAGCACAATTGTTTACCTAGCCTAAAATTCCAAGGTCAGTAATTTGATGAGTTTAGGCAAGTCTTTTGGTCTTGTTTGTGCTCACTTGCCTGTTGAGTAAGGTGGTTCTGTTTCTGTGAATTGGTCTGTCACCTGGGGCTATAGGCTTTTCTGAGCCAACCCATCATCGAGCTGGCTATCTTGAGCTTCTTCACATGGCAGCCTCCGGGTTTCCAGGGGACAGAAACAGAAACTAAAAGGCCTCTTATATCTTGGGGTTGGGAGTCATTCAGCATCACGTGTATTGCATTTTATGATACAAAGCAAGTGACAGAGATCAACTCAGATTTCAGCAATGGGGAAACAGACTCCAGTTCTTCAAGGGAGAAGTCGCAAGGCATTTTGGCCATTTTCAAAATCCACTGCAACTATTTGCAAGCAATTAATCTTGCAAA